TATATATATATATATAGTACTCTCCTGTTAGAAACCGGTTTTGTAATTGGCAAGCCAATGATGATTCATATTTTTTGTTATTATCTTCTACCTCTTATTTCTTGACAACAAAGTTGGCAGTGTTGTATTGTTAAAGGTTATTTCCCTCTGTGAAACATATGTTAAATAACTAATATGCATAAATACACAATAATATGTAGCGCACATTTAGCAGATAACCGTAACTATTTTTAAACTAAACACATTTTCTGGAAGATGGGTTTGTCTTAGCCTTGGGGCTATCAACATGGGGAACATTTTCTGCTCAAAGGGTTCAAATCCTGGATAGAAAGAAGTTACAATGTTATGGTAATGCTTAAAAAAGAGAGTAATAAATGTATCATAAGTGAGGAAAGATAATCAGAAGTAAAAAGTTAGACAGTTAATTGTTCCTTGTGGATCTAAGATTGGCCTTTTGTACAAGCAGCAATTACACTCATTTTATCGTTTCACAGGACTTTTATATGATAGTTTACTGTAAATACAGAACAATACGTACATAAAATACAATATGTCACACCCTCCTGAGCCACGAGGTGTTTACCACTTTTAAGCGTCTCAGAGTCAATAAGGTGAGTTGTGGTGACACAGGGAGTAGAGCAGGTGATCTCTCAGGATGTAGTTTCTGATGAAACACCGCTGAACATTCCCAAAGGCCAGAAACTACATGTTGAGCCTAGAGACTGCACAGATTGCACACATGTATGCACCTGAACGTCACACATATTAACACAGAAAATAAGATATCATATTGGTGTAATGCATATGTGTTCCCATTTCCATACATAGACTATACATGCTATACAAAGTATGCACTGTGTGATGTGGACGTCATTTTTTATCGTTCGCTGCTTAACATACAGCAAGTAAACCTACAGCACATTCAAGTACTCCAACATGTCTTGCTAAATCATGCAGGTTCTATGTATATTCTGGTAAACAAAAATAACTTCCTTAATAAGTTCCTTTTTGTATTAAATTAGGGTTGTGTCCAGTTAATTGCATTAAACTATAAACCAAAAGCTAGAGCTGCGTGTTCAGTATATGTACAGTTTCAGTCACATTTCTACTCTTAAAGCTCGTAAACTACCTCACATCTCCTCTCTCATTTAAACCTTGTAAGTACCGTATACATTCCAAGTCCCATATGCACATACTAACCTTGGCAGAACTAGTTTCAGGTTTAATGAACCTTTGAGAAGGAATGAACCCCAATGTCAAATTCTTTCACTCCCCCCCGAAACTTCAAAGCATTACTATCGGTTGTTTCATTCACCTCCTGTTATTGACTGCATTCGTTCTGTTTTGTTTTTGTGTTGGTCTTCTATGCTGGTTGTGTGGTTGTTTGCAGGTCTCCTGATATCAATGAGACTAAATAAAGTGACTAATATCTGAAGGTAGCAGCAGCAGCAGTAGTAGTGGTGCACTTAAGAAAATTTGAAAAATTATTTTAAACTGAGAGTCTCTCGTGGACTCCTGTGGTGCTTTATCATATTTTATGTTTACTTACATTAGCCTTTTTTTGTAAGTCACATTTTTCCCTGCATGTTTTTGTACATTCCAAAACAATGATAGAGGGGAGGGTGCAATAATATTTTCTAGTGACTACATTATGTTCTTGTAAGTAAACCTCGATAAACAAGTTACTGAAGTGGCAGTAAAGAAAATTAGTGCATGTTTAGTCTTGAAGGCATACCATTGATTATTTCACACTGCATCCGACTACAGCCTATCTGATGTTTTGATGATTTGTCCGTTGTTGTGAGAACATTGTGTTTGTTCCCATTAGGCGCACCTGCAGGCTGCACACTACACTCCACAGAGCTGTCAAGGCCTCCATGACACTCCCCTTGTCGGTGTGGCTGATGTAATGTTCCTCTGGCATCGTTAACAGAATCACACAGCAGCCAATAGCAGCAGGACAAGTTATGGCTCAGGGAAAGATACGTTTAGTTTGGAGAGCCATTCACAAGGCTCCATGTGCTGCAACCTCGACAGCTCAACAGTATCAATGCCCCCAGTTATTTGCAAACCAAATTTCTTCCGCCCCGACACTGACAAACTAAGATAAAACACAAGTATATGGAGAGCATAGCAAACAACAAACACGAGCAGCACAAATGTCTACACAAAAAAAGAAGGGTTCACTCTCCAAGGGAAGAGAAATTTCAATGCTTTGAAAATAAGTGAATGTTAACAGTTTGATGGCAAATAAATGTAATTAATGATTCACCAGCGATCAGGAAGACTTATAATTATTTTTTAAAAGCGTGCTGTTAAAAATAAAAGGTATATGTACTGTAAGAGGAATTATAATAATCAACAGTGCTGATTTTGATTGTGTGTTTGTAAATCTGAAGGTTATTTTCAACTGTTTCCTGTCTCTGAATGACAATGAGTATTTGTAAGCTGACCTCTTATAAAGCAGGTAGTCTAAAGTGTTGCGTAGCTCTATTTCTCCAACATGATATTACTGCAGAGGACACATACCTCCAAGATTGCCACCTACAAGGTTCAGTTCCTTTCAGTTTATTACAAGCAAGGCAGTTGTTACTGTCTGTTTCCACTCAGTAATATAAACAAAGCACTGTGTCGTTTGGTTTGACATTCTCTCATCCGTCTCTTCTTGACACAATCCAGACGGGTGCATTTCACGTTGTTAGGAGATGGAGGGTTTTCACAGAGATAAACATGTCGAACACCACGTGAACCATGTGAACCATGGATTTCATCACTTTCGACCTTTGGTGCTCAGAGTCACGGTAAAAGGCTCTTAAGACACTACTAGTGCTCAATAGTCACTGAGTTTGAGACATCCATTCTTCAGCTGACAGGTTTACGTTATGTGTCCTGCAGTAAAGCCAGTCTGTCAAAATGCCTTGCGGGAAAAGAGTTTCTGCAGCTTTATATTGCATAATTAAACCCACAGGAACCATGACAGCTCCGTCAGACACAAATGAGAAGAATGTTGTTTTTGTGGCCTAATGACCAGTTTGTTGAAAGCCTGTGTTGCTTTACATTCTGTTTTAGTACAGAATGTTTTAAATTAAAAGTGTGCCACTTATTGCTGATGAAACATAATCTCATAATAAAATACAAAACCATATTTTTGGAGGCATTTTGCTATTAAGAAAAAAATGGTTAATTAATTAAAAATTTCCTTCACTTTATACCTTGGACACTGACAGTTTTTATCCAATTCCCTAATAGCAATTTAAGTGTGTCAACGTGTGTCAACGTGAACAGCCCAGGGATCACCTTTTTTTTCAGCGACCCACCATTAAGTTATTAAATTAAGCTTTTGTGTTCTTACTTCATACAGTGATGTGACAAAAGACAATAGCATGCCCATACCTTACATATCATTTTCCATAGAACCACAACCACATTGTTTGCTCAGCTTCCAACACAAAATAAACAATTCTGGGAAATCCAGAAGAACCTCCTTTTTTTTCTTGTAAAGTCAAATAGAGCAATTCATTAAACGGGTTTTTCCATTAACCATCACTCTTTTAACAGTGCTGGCAGTGATGCATCATTTCTTTGCCAATCACCGTTAGAGGAACAAGACAAGGAAGCGAGGCACAGACATAATGTCAATACAGGAGTTGCATTTTTCAATGTACTCACATAAGCTCGATGACATTTCACTAATGAAATGCCGCTTTATAAACAGAAATATACTATCACATATTTAAATGTGATTTGGGGCTTAAATGGCTTAAATGACAACATTAGCTGAAGGGTATCCTCTCTGGTAAGCCATCAATCATGTCAGTATAATTTCATGATAAATAGATGATACATATGAAAACAAGCACCAAACTGTTTAAAATTTTACTCTAAGAGCTGCTGGTAACAGCTAAAAGTAATTTTTGTTATTCTGACAGATTAGGCTGCAGAGGTTGCACTTGGACACTTGGGTCGAGCTATCCATTAGTCCATGTAGTAATAAGAAGGGTAAAGGTGCATGTTGCACAGGTGCAACAAAACTAACAGGGGAGTCAGGGTGATGCCAGTCATTGCCGGTCTGTAAACATCCATGCAATCTCCACAAGACGACATATCACGTAAAATAGGTGGAAGCAACAGTGTTTATCATGGGTGTGTAGGGCCTTGAAGGTCAGAGCACAAATCATCACAGTAATTTTATATTTGTTCTGGGTACATTACAATGTGGCATACATGTTTTCTAAGATGACTCATCTGGTTTCTGCAGATACTGTTTGACAGCACTGACAATAGTCGATACCTCTGCCATGGCCCCTTTACCTGCAACAAAGTAAAGAAGTTCAGAGTTACACAAACTCTTTCTGTAGGGAAAAAGAAATTATCAGTCAGTGCAGACATGCAAACTTCTCAGGCACTTTTGTACATTCACCAAATGCAGCAAAAGTGCCCTTTTAGATGCCCCTATAGAAGATTTTCTTTTTTGACTCTGATTTTGATGCACCTGACATCAAAAAGTTAGTCATTTAATAAACTTTGCTGCCTTAAGTCCGTGTGCTCCAGTTTTCTTTGGATTCTCTCCTGATACAAGACTGGCCCACTCTGAGAGCACCGAACAGGCTTCATTTCTTGGGAATCGGTTGAAGCACGCTTCCTTCTCCTCGACAGCTCTAATGACATCATACAACCATTCTGCCAAGTCCACATGCATATCTCACAGCCCCACTCTATATGCAAATAAACACATTTTTCCATTTGCAAAAACAAATGTGTTGTTTTTAACCTGTGGCCCAACAATAGTAGCCAACACATTGGGAAACATTGACACCATGTTTTTGCAAAAAGAAAGCGATAACTTGTGTTGTATGACGAACAACTTTTGAGAAGGCTCAAATAATTAAGAATTTGTTGTAGACAGTGTTTCACAAACTTTATAAAGTAAACTCGATAACTCACAAAATTGAGAATGTTTTATTTCTGGTGACTTTCTCCACAAGCAACAAAGAAGAAGCCTATACTGGCTGCTGTTTACTGTATTTAGAAAATGTGACGTGTTGTCTTCTTTCATAAATTGTGTATACATTTTTTGAAATTGAAACTGTGCTCAATCAGCTGCTTGGCAGGTAACAGCGATGCCTCGGCAAACTGACACAATGTTTTTTTTACAAGGAAAGAAACTACTTAATAGCTTAATTGGGTCTTCAAACAGTTATAGTTCAAGTAGCTCCATCTTTAGTTTAAACACTTTTTGCTAATATACTTCTGTGCTAATATACTTCTGTGCTTATATTCAAGTCGAATTTTGAATGCAGTGGTATTGCTTTTATTCAAGTAAAACATCTCAGTACTTCTTCCGCCACTACTTATTACATTATTATCTAAAGTGCTTCGAATAATTAAAAGTAAAAGTAATTTCTGCGTGATTTTCAATGACAAATAATAAATAAATAAATAAATATTAGTAGTTTATAAAACTGGGGAGCCTGATGAAAACCTTGAAGAACCATTTGCACCAAGTGTATTCTCCCCCAAAACAATTTGTTGTACCCTCCTTGCAAAGTTGTTAAACCTTGTTCATACTTTCAGTCCTTGATAAAACAATCCTATCCTGATATCCTCAGAGAAAAAAGTTCCCCAGCCAACCCCAAATGTAAATGAGATTGGCCTCAATGGTAAGTAAAGGACAGCTGAGTCTTTGCTGAAGTAGGATAACTGTACTAGATACCAATTCTTAGGGCTGATACTCCCCTTGTAATATACAGTGTGTTTATATTGGATTGCATTTTCAAACATGCAATTAAAAGTTAATCTTGAGTTTTTAGCATGTTCTAATCTCATATATAAAAGATAATCAATCACAAGATAACGAAGTTAAGTTAAACAACATTGCTATCAGGGCATCTAAAGACTCAACTAATGTTAAAGCGTGTGTAGATAAAGGTATGCCAAACAGCAACACAGAACATACTGTAGTTCCTAACTGCACAACAGGACAAATAAATGGAATGAATGGAAGACACATTATACTTAAGAATCTATACGGACCACATACCACACTGGTCAGCAAGAACAATACTGCCAGTCATTACAAGATTACAACTGCTTGCATCATCTTTGTAAAACCGCCATTTACAAATGGTCTAGTCTGACTATCTTGGGGTAAATAACTGATCAGAGATATAATGGGCCATTTATCTATCACCATCTCTTCATCTCTGCACCAGGACCCATCCTAAAGCCAGTCTCAGAAGTTAAGAACAGTGTAGACCAACCTTTTATAGAGGGAGAAAATTGTCAGGATGGGCACTCTGAATACTTGAAAATACCATAACAGTGTGTATTGTCACCTTTAGTCCTTTTTAATATTGTAACCCAAAGGCATATCTATTAACTCAATCTGATAACTTAATCCTACAGAAGAACCTGACAGTGACTAAACTGTGAACCTCTATCCTCATGGGGCATGTGATTTTAGGTAATGTGATTCTAATCCAATACTGTTTTTTTTTTTACTTTAACCAGTATTTGGTCTTCTTTCTTATGAAGGGATGCGCTCCACATGCATACAAAGAGTTGTAACAAAACTCTGAAAGACCACTGCCTTTTTTAAAATTGAGTCTATTAAAGAAATGTCTACCACTGTGGTCAGAAATGTGCTCTGCTGTATCTGTAACCACACCCGAGAAACACTTGATAGTGTACTAACACACCCTGGAGTACACTTTTACGAGAAACCACTGGAAGTTGCTTTTTTTAAATAAAGTCAACATATGGATATTTTTGAGGAAGGCAGAGCACTTGTCTGTGAGACCTGTTTTCCATTCAGTAATTACCCATTTGTATTTATCTGATGAAGTGTTTGTTGTTGTTACACAACACTTGCCTCACGTCATTAGATGTTGTATATATCTTGTACTTCCACATAGTGCTTGTCTGCTCATGTTTAGTACCATTCCTACATGTATGCATCTGCTCTGTATTTAGCTGATTCTGTTTATTTTACAATTACTGCCCTTGAGGACGACTTATGATGTAAGTTAGGAATTATTTCTGAAGTTTAATTGCATACTTAAAAACTGTTAAGGTGATAAAAAGTAAATTAGACTATGTTGCAGTTAGAATCTCTGAAATTTGGTCATTATTCTTTACTTTTCATGTTTTGAGATTTCATGAAATGAAAGCAAATATTGGTAAATACTTAATATCTTTTAGTTTCTTCTGGTATTAAAACCTACCTTCATCTCCACACACTAGCTTCTTAGCAATGCAGGGAATTTCCACATATCCAAACTCTGTCAGCCTGGAAACCTGCTCGGCTGTAATGGGATGTTGCCACATAGCTGTATTCATTGCAGGGCAGAAGAGGAGAGGGCGACTGGTGTCCCATGCTCTTACCACACATGTCTGCCAATGACAAAGACTAATCAGCTTGGAAGTCATTTCAGATAAATGATCAGCTGTAACATTTTGTAGGTAAGCAGAAAACAATATCATGTTCTCACCAGCAGATTGTCACAAATGCCACTAGCAATCTTTCCAAGAGTGTTGGCATCAAGGGGGGCAATGACAAGTAGGTCTGCCCAGCGCCGCAGCTCAATGTGTAGCACAGGGTCAGTTCTCTGAGTCCACAGCTAAAATAGAGACATGAGAGACTCAATTCCTCACTTTCTTTCTGAGTTATACTTATACCAGGGTTTCTCAATCTTTTCTGGCCCTTGACAAAATTCTCATGACCAGCTGGGAAGCTGTCTACAAACGAGTACTCAACAACTTGTGTCACACTTTAATTCAATCACACACATCATGTGATTTTCAGCATCAATCTTTTATTTTTTACAAGAGCATGAAGGGAGCTTCAAATTATGGTATACTGCAAACGCTTCCACAATCCAGTCAGCTTGTCAGAGGCACCAAGTTTGAGAAACTCTGCTATGGATTGTCAGTTAATAATGGCTATACTATGAAAGTTTATTGTTACCTCCCACTCATCCTTGTCACTGTAGATTTTTACTGAAACCTCTGCAGGATCGTAGAAGTGCTTGGCATGCTCTGTAGTGACCACTCTTACATCCACCTAAAGAATAAAACAAGACAGTCACAAGAAAATCACTTAGTATTGCTATTGGACTGAAGAGGTGGAAAACTAAAAAGAGACGACAAGTAACTGATCTTTATCTTAGAGACTATTTTATGGGTCTTTTCATTTGTATGATGACACTGGGCATGTAGTTTCCCCTGCATTTCATCATATTGAGATACAGTCATTATTTTGTGTAAATATCACGTAAGTTTGAGTTTCTCTCTCTTTAATATTCCTTGAAAATTTTAAGGGTGGATACAGCACTAAATATCTCTCAAACCTGTTTAATATGACAAAACCTAACACTGTCTTCATTTTATGTTTTGCCAGTGGTGTAGTGTACGGCATACACAGGTATATGGGTTTCCCCTCTGTTCTCCAACCTGACTTTGTTTTCTAGAAAGACATTTTTGTCATTTGAAAAGTTTCAAACATCTTAAAACCAGTATTTGAAATATTTGTATGCATGTTGTTTACTTTTTGGTTGTTGTCTGTCTGGTTATGTGTTGTGTATACACTGATACCTTTTCACAAATTAATAATTTAATTTAATTTGATTCGTTATTATAGTGGATGGAGTAAGGAATAAGGAATACATAATTCAAAATTCATGATTATGTAGTTTTCTCACCCTACAATATGTAATCTGCACCTCCTCTGTGGCTAATGTAGATTTCATAATGCTCCTTACTCCTTGAAGTCAGGCAGCAGAAGTTAAGCGACAATGTGCAAATACTTCTGACACATTTTGGGTGAACTAACTATGCAAAAGTAGTCTTGACACTGTTTATAACACAGGGCGTTACTCATTTGCTGGCATAAACTAAGACTATACCCACTTCTCCAGGCACCATCACACCTCTGTGTATCGCAAACCATTTCACACGCTAATCCAGCCTCTGGTTTCACTTCTCCTTTTAGCTTCTTGTGACAGCCTATTTTGGGGTTTCATTGCTATAAAGCACTAAGAACTTGGGCTGCAGGAAGGAGCCTCTTTTGACCACTTTTGTTTCCTTCTAAGACAATATCACGAACAGAGGCCGATGTAGAGTTTGTGTGAAACGGCTCATTTCTGTGTTGAGTTTCTTCAAACAAGGA